ACTTTTTTATTAAATAACTGTTTACATTTACTTAGTAATCGAAATATTAAATAATATTTGTAATAATTCTATCGTGCTTTCGTTGCCACTAACTAACATAACAAATTATCCTAATAATTTACTATTAATTCGGTAAGTAACTTTCAACATTCAATCATATGGTGTTCCCCCTTATCCATGAAAAGCAACGCCTGAGGCATACACCGGCTTAGGATGTATTTTACGTCCTGTATACCTATATATTACACATTATATCAATTGGAGTTGAACACCGTATTTCATTAACTAGAGAAATAGAACGTAATATTGGCCATAGTGATATATAATCATATTAATGCAAATACGCGAACTTGTTAATGTTTTCTTATAATTTTCTCTATCTCACATTCAAATTACTGGCTATGATTGTAAGCGCCTTTGACGAGGGTAAAGTATACGGTGGATATTTGTTTAGGTACCTATCAGACAAGAGCGCTAGTGGAATTTCTATGAGTAACAACATAACACAAAGTGGAGAAATAAAATTGTAAATAAAAATTGTCAGCACTAAGGTAAAACTGTTATCGTTCATTTAATAACTGACTATTTAGTGTTAAACCAACGTCTCGCAGATTTTGTTGTGATGCATATGATATGGTCTAATATTATCCATCTCAAAACTAAAAAGAAAGAAGAAGAATTCGATTGGGAAATAAGTATCTGTAGGTCCTACTCAACAATCATACAATACTTAATGCAATATTGGTAAAAGTATATGTATGTTAACAATGCATTTAGAAAAATAATTTAAAACTAACAGAACTTTTTTAAAATATGACTAATTATTTTATTTGTCTTTAAAATAACTAATATTAATAAAAATGATAACTCAGAACAATTCGCACAACGCCAGTCCCAAATTAAGCTGAGCTTATGTTATTGGTACTAAAACACGAATTCTTAGATATATTTTTATTTTAATATATACATAAAAAGCACTCAGACTAGTACAAACAAGTTGTGAATAAAAATGTTTGTACTGTGGGAGGAATCGAAACCGCGACTATCGGAATATAATTACAATTCTATTTATTAACATGCTATTTAAAGACATTCTAGTTGATCATATCGTAGAATTACTTCAGTATTGATTCTTATAAATACAGGAAATTTAAAATATACGTACTAGAAATTATTAATAGTTTTAGTTTTCAAAATGATGTCTACTAATATATCTTTTACCCAAACTACATATAGGCCTGATATACGGTTAGTGATATATCTCTTTATCGGTAGAATTTTCCCAAATAAATTGTACATTATTTTATAAAATAAATAATAACTGCGAAAAAGCCGTATATTTGTTGTAATATATTTAATAGTCATTAATGTTTTTTGTTGATGTTTGCTGCATGTTATAATGAAGTGAAGCTTATATTTGTAATCGGATCGCGGAGGTACTGAAATAATTTAATGTTTACCACTGTATTTCAACAGAAATATATTTCCTTTCATAATCGTACTTTAGTGCAGTGGTAATAATAACAGGAATTAATTATAATTTCCGCAATCATATACATTATATTTATATATATATATATATATGAATTTATATAAATTAAAATAGTCATAGGTAAAAACGTTCTTGTAAAGTCCAAGAACAGTTTATTTTATATTTTTGGTACAGATAGTGATGATATGGTAAATGTCTGTTGCTCTACCAGTATATACTGGCGGGGTGGTACTAACGAAGAATGAAAGGACAAAAATGAAATCATCTTTTTCTTATGAATAATAATGAAATTGTTATTACACCTATTCTAATAAAATATAAAAATAAAATTATATAATAAAAAATAAAAATATTTCACTAAATTAGATTTGTTATTTAGTATTTCACGGACTAAAATATCATCTCAATATGATATAGAGCACAATCATTAATCATACCAACTTCTTTCTTTTTCAGACTATTCTAAGATCATTGGCCGCCGATAACGTCTACAATTGTACGAGTATAGGGCGCATGTAGAGGTGACCGAGCTTCCAACTCCTGATCGAAAAACACTACTGATAATGTCAACCTAAGAGCATCCTAGTGATTTGAACTATGGGTTTGGCCGTCTTATTTCGCATTATAAATATCACAGCTTTCTTAATTTATTTTCATTAGGTAAATATTTAATAATAGCCTAATAGCATAACAAGAAACAAAATGTTTTGATCATCTAAAAGAAAGTTATAATTAATGTTCATCATTTTATTTATATATTTCAATTTGATCATAACATATTTCAAATATTGACAAAAAGTATAAATAATTAGACAGTTATAATATATATAATTTTCCATTGTCAACCAGTATCTAACTGCTATAGGCTTATCGATATTTCGTCGAGCTTTATTTGAATACATTTATTCACATTGATGTTGTTTGTCACGTTCTTACTAATAATGTTATTTCAAATCTGGTATATTTGACAGCCTCAAGGAATTAGCCGTATAACAAAACAGCTTACTGTTGATGATCGTGGGTTCGATTCCTGACACGATGCAAATATTTTATACACAATTATGGTTACGTGTATTTATATTGACCTGGTCAATTTTTATGCATGTATACTATATTTTTATACTTTTCATTAACTATAAAATACATGTAAGTGTTTCTATCAATTGTTTAGTACCCATGTCACAAGTTCTGCTTGGGACTATATAGCGATGTGTGAATTGTTCTTGATTATTAATTTTTAAAAGGTTTATATATGGTAATTCTATATTTTGAAAAAGTTCTTTTTTCTCTTATTTTATTTGGTGAAATATAAGGTAATACTTTTTGTATTTATATTTAAGACTGTTCTGATATAATCCATGTAATGTATTGTATTTTCTGAGAGAGTAGCCTAACTAATTGTAATGACCGTAATCATGTGCATATGATGACCATGGTACTAAATATTCATAGCCAAGATACTATAATATATTAATACCAGACGTGACGGTTGTCTTCTTCCATCATATACGTAATGTAGCAAAATTTAAATTATATATGGTTATATTTATCATATTATAATTAACATTGAACACATATATATTTCATTATGATTTAATTTTATAAAAAGTAATAATTTTTACTCATAATACGTGTATTTATTTTTACTTTACGTGGGATGTGATATTACCTATTTTATTCAGATATTTTTAGATACTAGGAAATTAATATGAACTAATGTAGATTAGCCGAGGTATTATTATTTATTTACTTGAATTTTTTAATGTTTACTATTTTGAGAGCGCTAACCTCAGAATATAGTAATCTCTATTTTCATTAGTTTATTACGATAGTTTGCCTTATTTCTTTTTTAATTTAATCAATTCAAGGACCAAAAATATACTAATATTTTTTATTTCGAATGCCACAACGCAAGAGTAGGATGTCGAGGGCTCAGTAATTTTCTTTTTATTTTTACTACTGGAAATTCAATATTAGGACGGCCCACAGAATGTGGCTCTCTTATAGACGTGAGCTATAGGAAAGCCACATTCTGTGGGCCGTAGCAACTCTGTGAGACTAAATGTTTATAGATTGCCATTCAGGACTAACATCACGCCTATTGTTTTTGTTATTATTGTTATTATTATAGACAGTAAATATCAAGACTTTGAATTTAATTCATGCATTAAAATATACTTACTAACATTTTATACACAGACCAGATGGCTGGCTTTCATTACTACTACTGAATATTCGACATAAAAACTGGAGATAGTATTCTAATCCATATCCATCCACCCTCAGCATAATAAATGTTTATTATAGTGAGGTATCGTCGACTAATAATGCACTACAACAATAGTGTTCACGCGAATAACCCATATAGTTTATTGGTTCATTTGAGATAGATACAAATTGCCTGCGCTATCTTATAAACACTTATACTTTGTCGCAATTATATGCAAATACACTAGTTTTAATATCACTATGACAAAGTAGTAGTTTCGTATGTAACTAAGTTGTTTTTAACTGAAACATAAGTAACATGTTTGCCAACATCGTGGTAAAAAAAACTATATTATAGCATTGTAAAAGTTGTACCTTTATTTAATCGGATAGACTCTTCAGAATGGTTGATATCAATAATATAAAACATTTCTTTAATCTTAAGACTTTTCTTAGTTATTAAGTTGTTTAAACCTAATAACCAACAAAATTCTTAAGCTTGCTTTAAAACTGATAATAATTACAATAATCACGCATATAACACAATACTTTTATGAAACAATTCAGACACAAATGAGATTCATTAGTTCAATTCATTCAGTTGTTCACAAATGTCTAAAATAGTTTTTAACCATATTTAGTTCACTGCACTTATTTCAAAGTGAGCACCTTTGGTTAAAAGAATTCATATTTATTTCTATAAATAAGTAATAAGTTGTAGTGTGAATTAAGTTAAATCAAATATCTTTTTAACTCTTATGACATGATGGTCATATGAACATTCTTTAGTCAAATGGTTCATAGTAATGAGACGAACTTCTTAGCGTTCCATGAATTAACCTGAGGGCACAGGGCCAGTCTGCGGGAGAGAGGGAAACTGCAAGCATTTCATGTACGTCAACACTCACCTTTGCCGCCCGTGTTTCGCCTCCTGCTCAGCCATGATCTTTTAGAAGACTGTAGAGAGATTTTGCTAACCTTCACCTATAACCTAGTAGTCATTTCTGTTAATTCGTTTACAAATTCGTAACATTTCTTTGTTTTTATTGCATTGTAATAATTTTAATACAATGAAATATATGCAGTGTTGGCAAAATAATAACATTTAAATATAAAAGAGAATATAATATTCATTAATATGTTAATAAAACCAGACAGTACAGAGTTTTATGTGGAAGGAAACAAAGTACATCCAAATATAACATAAAATAATTTTAACAATGTATAAATATATTTCTGATAGTGTACAATAAAAATGCATTATAGGTACATATTGATCGAGGACCGCTGCTAGATTAATTTACACCTCATTAAGTTTGATCGAAATTGAATCCAAACCGTTTTCTAAAAATTCAATTACTTTAATGAATACTAAAGTGTCTGCTTCGGAGCCCCACACGAATTCGGTGTGACTCAAATTTTTTCCTTTAATTATATAGTGGTCGATAGGTGATTTAATACTAAAATATAATTTTAAGACGTCTGGTACAGTGGCCAGCCAATCATCACTAGAACTAAACATTGCAATTGGTACGGATACACGACTCAGGTTAAACTCACCAGAAATATCACCGAAACTGTGGAATTTTGCACTTTCTGCTAGCTGGCCATAGTGCAATATTGTATTTGTAGAGCCGCCCGCAGGGACGTGATATAATAATCTCGCAATAAAACTTGTACTCCAAGCTTTTTCCTGTGGTATCCCGCTCAGAAATAGAAGAGGGTTGTTGCAATATATTTTTGGGCCTTGACAGTATTTTGAAGATACCCATGGCATTATTTTTCTTGACGGAATAAATTCACCTTCGCCTATAATTTTTAAGAGCTGTTCTGGGGGTCTTGCTGATAAAGATGTAAGCACTTTTAAAGGACCCTGAATATTAGCCATAAAAACTAGTGGTGCTAATAGAATTGCAATCCGTAAATAATCATTATATTTAGGTACAGTTGACAATAAGACTAATAATGCTGTTGCACCCATTGAATGACCTATATAGTTAATTGGTTTACTTGTATTCTTTATTTTTCGTATGTAATCTATAACAGCTGGTAGGTCGTATTGACCCATTTCCTGAAATGTGAATTGCCAAAACTCAGCTGAATGCACTCTTTTTGTAAAATGGCCTCGTGAATAATAATTCCCTCTTGCATTGGTCATCCATACATCGTAACCGGAGTTTGACAAAATATATGGTAGCGATTTATTGGGTCCCAATAAAATCCAATCGGCAGAACTCCCAAGCAATCCATGATGAAGCAAAACTGTTTGACTGGTTCTATTTACAACTGAACTTTCTACAGTATCCGATATACGATGAATAGTAAGAAGATATCCATCTTTAGTATTTACAACATGCGATTCAACTCTTTTTCCATGTAGTATACCCAATTGGGACGTAGACATTAGGGCTGTTGGCTCAGATTTTAGATTAAGATATTCAAGCGACTCCGTTCTACTTTCAGCAGCTGTTTTTTCAACAAAGTCATGGAATGACTTTCTAATTTTTTCTTCCATTATTGATTGTTTTAGAACAGAAAGCTTGTCCATTGCTTTATTTATTTGAAAAAGATTCTTCACTTTGTCCTTAATATCATTGAATGTGGTGACAATTCTGTGTGTAAATTCAGCAATTTTTTCAGTCATGACATCAAATATATTAAAACATCTGACATTTTTATTTTTGGTCAAGACTATGACAAGTATAATAATTAAAGTCTTCATATCAGTAATTATGATAATGTTCTTATGAATATCAGCATTTGAACTGACGGGTATGTCAGATTACATCAATAGTACTATCATGAACATTATTTAAAGCATATTTACATATATAAAGAACAATGGGCCACAGTCACCACATTGTTGAATCAAATCTATGAGGCATTAGCATCAACCACAATTGAAGTAGTTAGTGATTAATTTCATAACAATCAAGTCTTCGATCTATTATAATGTAAATTAATAGCAGTAAATGTAGCCATTATTACAATAGTACTATGTGCATTGAACATTAGTCGACAAACTCGAAACAAAGAAAGCGGGTCACAGCAATTCCCATACGATTATGCGGAAAAATTAAGTATACCGTGAGGAAGTTTCCCGCGTCTCGCCCAGTTCGGGAGAAGTTTCTTTAACGACGTAAACAATTTAAATCTAATGCAATATGCAGACCGTGCCGACGACTTCAACGCCCCACTCCGTGCCTCCCTACGCCCTCTACCTGCGTCCTTATAAAAAATTTACCCTAATTCTGAGCCCAGAGTGTTCAGAAAACCTTAGGTCACTCACTATTTGCGATATTGCCACTAAACTCTACATCTCGAAGATTATTTGTTTCTTATGGCCACTTTTATCCTTTCACTCTATTGTTATTGCTAGCAATAAGTTTATGAATTAAACATTAGATTTCGCGATTCACTTTCGTGATGGAATGTCCTGTGCTTTATTTTGCAATTATTGTTATAGCAATATAAAATATAATGTAATGTAAGCAATAGTAGGCGTATTTATACTTAGCTCTTATTTATTGTCGTTATTATGAAATATGTATATGACCTTTATGTATTTTAGAAAAGTCGTAAGTAATAGCACAGATAATATAATATTACATAGTAATAGTAAATACTTAAATTAACCTTACTTAGGTTGGTTCTGTTTAACCTAATAGTAAAAAAACATCTACATAACAGGACTAACGTTTATATCTATCACTACTGCGAATATACGCCGATATTATTTTGACACTAATATTCAGTTAGTAAATGGAGCGAGTAATATGCTTAACGTTAGGTTGACTCAATTAAACTAATAGATTTAATTAAGTTCATTTAGGTTGGTGTGTTTTACATCATTTTCCTACATGACGAAATACAATTATTAAAAATTAAAGTATTAGTATATGCATAATAGAAAAATATATGGAATTAGTTAATAAAATTTTATGTACCAATTCGATTGATTATATATACATAAAAAAGTCAATGATAATGCTATACTCGTATTAATAGTTACTATTAAATATTCAATATCGAACTGCTTTAAATTTCAGTTACAAAATTGGAGCTTACAACATTTCATTAGTTAAATATTATAAGCATCAATACATACTCGTACATATTTATTAAGACACATAAGTAATCTTCTATTTAATTTGGTAACATATCTGTACATATATAAGTATGAGAGTACTAAATACTTTAAATATTTAAATGAGTTACATTTAAATATTTAAAATATATCGTACTTACTTACTTTACTATATAGAAACGAAATACCAGATTAAAATTAAATGCGCAAGATCTCGCTTTATCTTGAGTGGAGTTAGAGACACTGTCAATAGAAGTCGAAGTAATGATCACAACATTTGATATAGATATGAAATTGCTGTTTTTTTTATTTCGGATTAATAAGACTATATTATTAATGTTTCCGTCATCAGAGCATTAAATTTAAATGTAAATAAATATTAAATAAACGCAACATATTTTATTGTCGGTCAGATTCAAATGTACCATCCTTCCATCCAAGCCTGAATATTCAACTATCAGGCCACGAGTCTCTTCAATTATAGCGTGATATTCTACAAAAACTAGGTATATGTTGCTGTCTGAGCAATGCCTGTACTGTGCTAACGACCTTTTTGTATCGCTACATTTCACACATATGCTACATTCATTCAACTGTGTAATGTACATCATGGTGTGTTGTTCGCGTACATAAATATATTAATTCTTTTTCTAATAATATCAGATCACCTTTCACCTTATCCACGATGTTTGGCTGTATTCAACCCAATAACAATTATACAACTCAACGGATATGCTCTAATTGTTCATGCAAATGCATATCATATCCTTTATTAAGGCATACGATAGAAACTTTATCCTTAAAAATTTACTCTGTTTTTAATGAGAGTGTTTGCTATTCATTTCGCCGCATAAATGACCAAAAGGAATAAAATTAAATTGTACGTGTAATTACATCATATTCTAAATTTCTTTTATATCGCAGATGTTTACCATCAATTAAACTACCTTTTTTATCTACCTACTAAAAAGTAATATGTGAAATATTAGTTTTTATCATAAAAGTTGATTAATAGGCGATTTAGTAATCGGGTGGTACAAAAATACATGCACTGAAATATTGAAGAAACAAAATGCATCCAATAAAAGTGACTCGAATGTTCCTGAGTTAATATCGGCAAGTTCATGTTAAAAAACGACTCGGCAGCGGTGGTCACTGGCAAAAATAATAAATGCTTCAATAAAACGTAGATACAGTTTGAATATGTGTACCGAGAGGAGAGGAATGAGGTAGATCGAGCAACCAACATTGAACTCATGCAAAATGCAGCACTACACCTTACCCCTCCTATTTCATCCACCCGGGTTATCCCCCCATTTATAAATGATTCTGGCTCAATTTCGCTGCCGAGCGCCCGCGTAGATATTGTTTGACTTGTGGACATACCGGACTATACTGAGATTTTTCGAGCTTTCCTATTATACAACGTACAAATGTAATTTTAATTATTCTTGAATAATATTGAAATCAGTATCAAATTCTGTTTCTGTGCTTACTGATATTTTATTCAAATCCATAAATACACTTTTTGTCATAATTATTTTGTGTAACTTCTGTAATGTTTTGTAGGAATTATTATTAGTATATTATAATGATACTAATTCTTGACACAGAGTTATCGTCGTCATATCAGAGCTTGTATTATGGTTACTAAACAATTGATAGAAAAACTTAAATACAGTTTTTTTTGTAATTACATACATATGAATCGTGTGAAAAATCAAACCTACTACTCAAGACAGTGTGCTAAATCGCTCAAGCCTGTTCACTACTTACCGACAGTTGACTAATATAAGGATGTTCTGCAATTCACACATAAATTATATCCATCCGCATCCATGGAATGAGTAATGGCAAAGATCACGCCATAAACTGCTCTCGACCATTTGAGGTTTATGCAAAAATTTATTCAGACTTATCATTCAGCGCAAAAACTAAATTAAAAAATATCTAGTATTCGTAACGGTCAAATTCGTATGAATAAATTGGAAGCGAAAGAGGGCTGTTTGATTCGTAACATTTGACGAGAGATTTTTCAATTTGAAATTTCAATTCGTTGCTTTTCCCGCACAATTAAGACTAAAAGGAACTATATTTCGATCGAAGACATAGTATTATTGCACTATTTATATTGAAGTGTTTTGAGTTTTATTCAGTAATAAAATGTTTGATTCGCAACATTTGACTAGAGATTTTCAATTTGAAATTTCATTTCATTTATTTCATTAAGACTAAAGGGAACTACATTTCGATCAAAGACATAGTACTTTATAACATTTATATTAAAGCGTTTTGAGAATGATCCAGTAATGAACTCAACAAAAAATACAAATTTCTATATTTATACACTCATTTATATTTGTACTTAGGTATGTAATCTTGTTATAAGATTTATAGCCTTTTGTTTTTGTCTGAAATACATTACGATAAAATTACACTTTTATAAGTATGGAGCGTGTTCACAATCGCGATATAAAATCGAAGAAAGCGCAAAGCTGCAACTTTGTAGTATTACCTATTCTTGTTTCGAGTATTGTTTACGGGTTCACAAGCGATTCGTGAAGTGCTTTTATCAATTTATTGTATTAGAAGAAAGAAAGATAATTCACATAAAAGATATATGAGTAGGACCATAATCAGGTAAATTAAAGGCGTTATACCTACATATGTATGTATACCTATGTTATACTCGGTAAAAACACATTAAATACTCTTTTAGTTAAATACATACAATTATTAAAATTATAGCTTCAGTGGTATCGAAATATAAAATTATATTATAAATTAATTCAATTACTAATGAAACTCACAAGTTTTTAATTAGATTAAAATTTCGCGTAATATGATTGATAATTTTATACCCGTCTTAAGATTGACAAGCTATTTTTTCTATTTACAGAATATATCATTGTATCTATTACAATTTTCCTCCGAATCAACAATTATGAAGTGTTCATTTTAATCTTCTTATGTAGGTATGTCAATAAAATCAAATTTTACTGTCGTATGTAATTTTTCATAGTTTGCATATCCAACCTAGTTTATTCCCAAAACCACGGCTTCAACATTTCTCCTTATGTTAATATTGTGTGTCGCCTGTTATATATAGAGTACTATATCTTACTCTACACATATAAGGCTACACACAACATTTAAATATACCTTTTTATACTAGTAAAATATAAACACCTGTGTTTATTGAACTATCTCTTAACATTAAATTCTACTTCTTGTAATCAGTTGCAGAGAGTGAAAATTGAAATCTTTAAACGTATAATTAAAGACTTTTATAAATATGTCACACTTTATAAATAATACTAATTAAGTACGTGGAACCTCAACGCTTTTGCGAATGAAACGGACATCAAAATAGGTCTCCTACAGTGGTGTTTGGATTTAATTAAAACAGCACCTTTGAGAATTTAATTTAATTAGCGTGGAGTACAATTTTAGGGGCCTCGGTGCTATTGTACCCTTATTTTGTTTCCTCTTGAGTTATCCGACTTTTTAGCCGTCTGAAAAATTATTTAGAATCTTTAAAATGAAGTAAAATATTTTTTTGGATGCATGATTTTAAATATTGTTTTTTGATTTGAGTATTCTAAAGAGTGTGAAATATCCATTTTGAAAACATA